AGGCGACCTGGGGCGGGTGGAAGGTATTTTCCTGGGTGTCGGGTGTGCGCGTCTGTGAGCCCCTGGGTGTGTGTATCCCCGCGTCCACGTGGAGGGATGTGCGTGTGTGACCGAGATGCGTGTACGCGGCCCTGCGTTTAGCTCTGTCAGGGTGGCCCAGCGTATGGCGCCCAGGTGTTCAAGTGTGTGTGTTGGGGGGTTGGGGGGGACAGATGTCTGAGCACCTGTGTATGTGTACACATTTGTAGACGCATGTGTACACCTGTCTCTAGGGGGACATGCCTTTGCTTGCATACCTGTGTTTCTGTGGGTACCTATGTCCACCTGTGTCCAAGCCCCCTGTGTTTCTGTGTGCTCGTGTGTACATGGACCATTATGCGTGTGAGTGCACGTAGGGCTGGGTATTTAAGGGACGGACACTGGAGGAGCAGAGACTCACCCTGGAACCTGCCTGTGGTGGAGTCAATGGAGGAGGCAGCGAGTAGAAAAGTCCCCACCCAAGCAGCAATGAGGGACTTTGTGTGTCAGTCCTGGGGTGGGGTAGGAGGGATTCAAGAGGTTCAGCTGGCAGGCCAGATGAGCCCAGCAGGGCTGCACTGTTTCACTGTAGGGTCTGAGTTTCTTGGTAATGACCTTGAATCATCCCTATTTCCCTGCCCTGCTCCTGCCCACTCACCAGAAAAGAGGAAGAACCAGGCTTGATTAGGTGGCACCAAGCTCCCCCAGAGCTGCTGGGGACTGAGCCAGGCGTGTCCCCTCTCCCCAGCCTGTGGCCACTTGCTCTATGCCCATGTTGGTCCTCAGTTTCCTTTTGGGAACAATGGTAGGGCTAGGCTTTGTGGTTTCCTCACTGATGTTTAATGGCTTCGACTCAGCTAAGGAACTCCCCTCAGTAAAGGCCACCTTCCCAAAGGGGCTTGGAGAACCAGTGTTTGTAACCCCCACCCCCATGCCCTTCACTATTGCCTCCACCTGGCCTGGGCTGGAAGTGGTGGTGGTGGCCCCTGGAGCCCCAGCCTGACTTGAATCTGCTCTCCAGCTGGTCTCTGCCCCTTCCCCAGGTGAGCCCTCGCTTTCTCCACGCCTGGTACCCTGGCCCAGCTCAGCCAGGATGCCCACGGTGAGTACCCCCAACCTGAGTGCCTGTATCCCTGCCCTTCCTCAGCACAGTCCATGCCCATAGGACCTCAGTTCCGTGGGGAGAGAGGATGTAGTCTGACCCATGTCCCCTTTAGCTGATGTCTTCTGGTTTTTCTCTGTCATTTGGTGTTGCATTTCTTCCACTTTTTCTCCCTGACCTTCTGTCCTGAGTGCCCTCTGTTTGTGACTCTAATATATCTCTGCTGGCTGCTTCCTTGTCCTCTCTTCTCTTCTCCCTCTTTCTCTTGTTTTCTCTGTCTCAATCCAATCTTTCTCTTTCTGGGGCATCTCCTTCATGCCATCTTTGCCCCTCTCCCCCATGCCTCCCACCCAGAGGCGCTGGGCCCCAGGCACCCAATGTATCACCAAGTGTGAGCACACGCGCCCAAAGCCTGGAGAGCTGGCCTTCCACAAGGGCGATGTGGTCACCATCCTGGAGGCTTGTGAGGTGAGCTGTGGCCAGAGGGCCTGGGGATGGGACTCTGCTGGGACCCCCCCCCCCACCGACCCCTGTCTCCCTCCCTAGCAGAGCAAGAGCTGGTACCGAGCCAAGCACCACACCAGTGGGCAAGAGGGGCTCCTGGCGGCTGGTGCACTGCGGGAGCGTGAGGCCCTCTCAGCTGATCCCAAGCTCAGCCTCATGCCGTTAGTAGTGGGGTAGGCCCGGGAATGAGGGATCTGGAGGGCCTGTCCAGCCTGGCCCAACCCACCCTCCTGCCACTGCAGGTGGTTCCATGGGAAGATCTCGGGTCAGGAGGCGGTACAGCTGCTGCAGCCACCCGAGGACGGGCTGTTCTTGGTGCGTGAGTCAGTGCGGCATCCCGGGGACTACGTGCTGTGCGTGAGCTTTCACCAGGATGTCATCCACTACCGTGTTCTGCACCGTGATGGCCACCTGACCATAGACGAGACCATCTGCTTTTGCAACCTCATGGATATGGTGGAGGTGCACCTTGGACCCAGAGTTACATATTCTCCAGTGTCAAGGAGGGGCCTCAGGCTCCACCCCATCCCAGCAGCTGGTTGGGCATGGGGATCCCCAGAGCCATATGCTCCCCCATGCAGAGGGAGCTGGTCCTCATGGACCACCAACCATATAGGTGGTCTGAGTCCTCTGGGTTCCACTTCCGGGGACCTCCAGAAACCTCCAGGTTAACACCAATCCAGACACCCCTCCCATCCTCCCTTTTCCCCCTAGCTTGCATCTTTCCCATTCCCATGGAAACTAGTCCAACACATCCTGTGGGCACCAAACCCCTCTCCTCATCAGCTCATGCCCACCCCATCCAGAGCCCACCCCCAGGAAGGGAACAGGTTGCAGGAATGCCCCGCACCCTGGGGTCAGACTCACAACCACCTCTGCCCCACCCCACTCTGCAGCATTACAGCAAGGACAAGGGGGCCATCTGCACGAAACTTGTGACACCCAAGAGAAAGCAAGGAGCCAAATCGGCAGAGGAGGAGCTGGCCAAGGGTAGGGGTCTGCACTCTGCCCACATCTGCCCTGCTTGGGGAGGCAGGGCCCTGGGACTCGGATGTCTCCTTGGAAGCATGTGTTTTTCCTGGGGAAATCTCGATGTCTTGGGGATGGCACCCGCGTGGAGGTTGGTATCACCACACTTGATCATACCTAAGGGTTCCTGACTTGGATGGGGAGGAGGCCTGAGTTAGAGGAGAGAGGCAGGAGAGAACTCTGGTCTGCTCGAGACAAGGGGTCAGGAGGCCAGAGCACAGATTATAACTTAAAGCACTGGAAGCTTCCTGAACATTCCAGAAGCTTTTCTGGTCTCCATGTCTGTTGTATTTTTTGCTCTGTGTGTGTCTCTGGGAGGCCAGAGGTAAAGGACTATAAAAGGAAGAGCCCTCGCAGTATTTGAAGGGACACAGTCTCGAGGTAGAAGAGATGGGCAGCCCTGAAGGGTAGGCTCCGTTGCCTTCAACCACGTAATAACCAGTACCAGAAGTGGGGTGCGTCAGCCATGCCCTTGGACCATTGCTGGGAACATCAGCCACCCAAATGTGTGCCCACAGCTGGGTACTGTAGGAGATACCACCTGGTCTCTCCAGGTGGTGCCCCCAATGGGAGGGCCTGGGGAAGCCTGCTACCCCTCTGACGAGGTCTTTGCCCCACAGCTGGCTGGTTACTGAACCTACAGCATTTGACTTTGGGAGCGCAGATCGGAGAGGGGGAGTTTGGAGGTGAGTGGGGGGCATGGGCTGGGGGGCTTAAGGAAGGTGGGGAGGGGTGGTTCAAGTTTTGGAGTCACAGAGATGAATTCACATCCACATTTAATACCTACTTGCTGGACAGCTGAGGACAAACCACTCATCTATCTGAGCCTCAGTTCTCTCTTCTGTGAAAGAGGGTTGATAACAGCTGTTGTGAGGAGTAAATTAATTCAGGCAGACACCCAGTGAATGAGTCCTTCATACTTCCAGGCTCTTGCATATGTTGGTCCCTCTGCTTGGAATGCCAATCCCTGAAATGATTATTCTGGAAGGCTGTAGGGCTTAGATTAGGGGCCTGCTGACTTGCTCTGTAAAGGGCCAAAGTGCAAATATTTTTGGCTTTGCAGGCCAGACAGTCTGTCACATCTGCTTGGCTCTGTGTTTATAGCAAGAAAGCAGCCCCAGATAATATAAGCAAACCAACAGGTGTGGCTGTTTGCCAATAAAACTTTATTTGTAGACACTGAATTTTGTATTTTCTATCACTTTCACGACATAACTCCTTTTGATTTTTTTTAACCATTTAAGAATATAAAAACCATTCTGAGCTCATGGGCCTTGCAAAAACACACAATGGAACTGGATTTGCAGAGTTTGCAGACCCCTAGATTCTCTTCGATCAGGAGTTTGGAGCTTGTATGGGTGAGGGGGGTTTCCAGGCCTGGGACCTGAGGCTGTGTTGACATATATGGGGGTCAGTGTGAGTAAGTATGTCCCTGTGTCTCTTTCCATCTCTGTTATGTTCTGGTCTCTGTCCCACCCCCCAGCGGTCCTGCAGGGTGAGTACCTGGGCCAGAAGGTGGCTGTGAAGAACATCAAGTGTGATGTGACAGCCCAGGCCTTTCTGGATGAGACAGCAGTCATGACGTGAGTCCCCAGTGGGGGTCAGGTACCCTGGGGTCAGGGGTTCTAGCCGCGCCTTCACCCTCCTTCTGTCTCCCCTCCAGGAAGATGCAGCATAAGAACCTGGTGCGTCTGCTGGGTGTGATTCTGCACCAGGGACTCTACATCGTCATGGAACATGTGAGCAAGGTACCGTGGGGCTGAGGTGCAGGTGGGGCTTGAGGAGGCAGCCAACAAGCCTCTATCCCCAGCCCCGTATCTCCCCCCCACCCCCAGGGCAACCTGGTGAACTTTCTACGAACTCGGGGCCGGGCCCTTGTGAACACCCTCCAGCTCCTGCAGTTTTCCCTGTAAGTGGGGACCCTGATGGGTGGGAAAGGGCTTTCCAAGGTCAAGGGAAAACGCAGGAAGGAGCCTGGCTTTGGGAGTTTTTGACCTGGCCACTGGAGCCCCTGTGCCCTTCCCCCTCCCCAGGCATGTGGCTGAGGGCATGGAATACCTGGAGAGCAAGAAGCTGGTGCATCGAGACCTTGCCGCCCGCAACATCCTCATTTCTGAGGACCTGGTGGCCAAGGTCAGTGATTTTGGCCTAGCCAAAGCCGAGCGGAAGGGGCTGGACTCTAGCCGACTGCCTGTCAAGTGGACAGCTCCTGAGGCACTCAAACATGGGGTGAGTGCCCCTCTGTCCCCAGGGACCTTGGAGTTCCAGATCCACTATATGACCCTGGGCACATGTCTTGGCCTCTCTGAACCTCCAAGGGAAATGGCTCTGCCTCCCCAGTGAGTACGTGGTCCATAGTTGTTCTTTCTGGCCCTCATCAGGTCTTTCCTGTGTGTGACCCTGTCTGGGCCTCTGTTGAGGGCAAAAATAACCAACCTCCTCCCTGCACTAAGTCTGAGCTCCACTTGGTTGAAGGAGCAAGGACTCAGGGAATGGAGTCTATTAGGAAGAGACCAGAGAGTGAAGGTCAACCCAGGGGGACTTTCTGGAGGAATTAATCAAGGACTGGAGCTGAAACCCTGAAGGGTCCCTCCTCACCCTGGTCTTGGGCCCCACAGAAATTCTCCAGCAAGTCCGATGTCTGGAGTTTCGGGGTGCTGCTGTGGGAGGTCTTCTCATATGGCCGGGCTCCGTACCCCAAGATGGTGAGCATGCCTGGGTGGTAGGGGAGGCATTGGGTTCTGTGTGGGTCTGGGGCCATGGCCCTGAACCCCAGCCCACACTGGTGTGCTCTCTGCCCACAGTCGCTGAAGGAAGTGACAGAGGCTGTGGAGAAGGGGTACCGCATGGAGCCCCCTGAGGGCTGCCCAGGCCCTGTCCACACACTCATGAACAGCTGCTGGGAGGCGGAGCCTGCCCGCCGGCCACCCTTTCGAAAACTGGCAGAGAAGCTGGCCCGGGAGCTGCGGAGCGCGGGTGCCACTGGCCAAGTTGAAGGGCAGGACACTGATGGCTCTACCTTGCCCCGTGGCCAAGAGCCTTGACCCTACCTGGTGGGGCCATGGGCCCCAGAGGACCTAGAGTGGGGGGGCTTAGGGCGGGGACACAGGCCAGGCCTAAGGAGGGTCAGGGCCAGCAAGCTGCCCGCCTGGCTCACAGCACAGAAGCAGGCCCTCGTGGGGGTTTTGGGGCAGCCCCTGGACACCACAGATGCAGGGAGAAGGCTTGGTGCCTCGATAAAGACTGGTTCCAAGAACTGTGGGCATCTGAGTCTCTCTCTGTGACCCCCAACGTCCTCTCAGCCCAGGGGGTCCACACTGTCCCCCATCACTCAGCTCCAGACAATCCACCTGCCAGTCGTCTGCCCCCTGAGGGGTCTGCCCAGCTATGACCCACTGGCAGCCACTGTGGGGGCACAGACCCCTGGGATGGAGCCAGGATACTCTCCAGCCAGGAATCACACCCACTCTGTGAACCCACTTGTCATCACCCACAGGTCCCCACTGTGGTCCATCTATGGGTGCTGTATTCAAACTTCGGGGTCTTGGGCTCCAAGGATCATAGGAGACTTGGCCCTCGGAGCAGGTGTATAGGAGCCCAGGGTGCCACTGGCCAAGTTGAAGGGCAGGACACTGATGGCTCCTACTGCACACTCCTGTCTGCTACTGCAGCTGTGAACCCGCCTGGGTATGCTCCAGTGTGGCCACCCATATCCTCCAGCTGTCACAACCCAACTGCCTGACCCAGTGACTCCAGCAGACTCAAGAAAAGCCAGTTGAACAGCCTGTCCCGAGGCCCCACCCCTCTTGTCCACTCTGGTGAGGGTGGCTGGGCTCTGGGCTTGCCCCCCCAGGCTCATCTCTTGACTGGACCCCAGCTGTTTGGTCCCAGGGCAGTCCCAGGCAAACTAGGGGGGTTGGTCTCCCTACCTGGGCCCCAACAGCCTCTTCTCTAATCAGGCATCTTTGCGGGGAAGGGGTGTGTTGTAAGGACCGACAGGGGGAAGAAAGTGAAAGGCTGAGCGCACACAGCTGGTGCTTGGTTATTGCTGTGACTGTCAACCACCCCATCTCAGTTGGCATTCCCATCCAGACAGCCTCTAGGATGCCTGGAGGTGGTCTTGGGTCAGGTTGGATGCTGTCCCACCCCAGGACCCCCAAGCTGGGGAGGAGACACCAGGCTCCAGCACACCCTCTCGCCTCTGCTGATGCACCCCGCCTGAGCTAGAGAAATACCCCAAATTTATACTGACCTCCTCAGGTGCCTTCCCCCTGAAGCCCAGCCCACCTTCTGGTCTCAGTGTCCCCACCAGTACCTGAAGGGGTTCAGTAATTCCTCCTGAGATAAATAAAGGGTGGGAGGCCGGAGAGGCAGATAGTGGCCTGTGAGAACACACAAACACACACACACACACACACACATCGCCTAATCCAGTTGAAGGGGCCGCTTGTCCCTGGGTCCTGCCCCTAATCCACCTAATCCGGCTCTCTAAACTGACACAGCGTCTGCACCTTCAGCCACATCCTGCTAAATCATGAAAGCACCCTGCACCTGACCAGGATTCCCCCCTGCAGCCTCTTAACCAACCCGGCCAATTAGCTAATTGGGGCCTGAGAACTGAGCAGCTTGTAAACGTTTTAAAGTGATGAAGCAATTAGGAGAATTACCTGCCTGCCCCACAGGCCTGGCTCCCCCGGCCACAGAGCCCAGAGCCCGTCTTACAGTTGGGGCAGCTGAGTCCTAGAAGGGCCCTGGGAAACACTAGCTGGCCCTCCAGCCTGGGCTCAGGAAGCCTGGGGCTTCCCTCTGCCCCCTGACCTCAGCCCTCCGACATGGGACAGGGGGAGCCCCAGCTCGCGCCTCCTCTAGGACCACTGGTCCCTGTGGTTGGACCCAGTTCCTCCAGGGCCTAGTCACCCCTTTTCTGTGTGTGTGCGCATGTGCCTGACACTGTCTCTGTCTCTTTCTCCATGTGTGTTTCAAAACCAACATTCCAGAAGGATCTGTGTGCTTTCTCTTGTACTCGTTCCCTACGCCATCCGAGGGCCTGCGTCTCCACCTGGACAACCTCTCTCCACTAAATCCAGCAACCAGTTTTCAGGCCTCACCTTGGCCCCTCATCCCCAGACTCTTCTGCTCGGTTTTCAGGGCACCCCTGCCAGAACCTCCAGGCTTCTTGGATTGGGGGGGGGGGGCAGGGGCATGGCAAACCAGTCTCAGGGTCTTCCTCTGGATCCTGCTCCAGCTCTCAGGCCACCATCTCTGTGACAAGCCCATCATCCACCTGTCCCCCAAACAGGGACCTCGGTACCGCCCTCTCCTCCCTCCTCCCAAATTCTCTCCCCCACAATTGCTTTCCTGCTCCCCTCTCCACTCCTTGCCATCCCCACTATCCTTGCTCTTGCCTCTAGCCTCCTCCTGGCCTCCCATCTTGCCCACAATAAGTACTCGTCCAAAATACCATCTGTGTCCCTTCCATGCTCCACAACCTCCCATGGTTCCCTAATATCCTCCCCTTCATACCAGATTTTGTCCATAATTTGCAGCCTTGCCCTCATCCCTCATTCTGATCACCTTCCTTAAAAGAGCAACCCAACTTATGTGCCCCCTTCCCTTTCTTGCCTGAATTTTCTCACTAGACCTCTGACCACCTGATACTACACTTACATAGTTGCTGTCTCCCCAACTAGGGTGTTGGCTCCTAGATTTGTGTTTGTTTTGTTCACTGGTATACAGTTAAATGCTCAGAATCCAGCTAAAATGCCCCCTATGCTGTGCCCTGTTCAGTGTCCAGAGGAGCCAACTAAAGTTGTCTTCACCTTTTGGGACCTCTGCTTCCCCAGCTCCATTGACATCTGTGGGTCTAAGAGAGCCTTTTTCTGCCCCACTGACAAAAACAGTAACAGCAGACATTCACTGAGCCCTCACTGTGTGCCAGTCATTGTGCAGTGCTCTTTCCTTTAATCACCTGAGTCCCAGTGAGCCCCACGGGGTAGGTCCAGGAAAACGGGCCCAGAGATTGGGAGGCCCTTGTTGGTGTCCTACTGCAAGGGAGGAGGACCCAGGTCCTCAGCCCTCCGCCTCCCTCAGGGCTCAGGGCAGCCAGATGGGCGGGGGCCCCCTCAATTAATCACCTTGTGCTAATCCTCACTTCCCACCCCCCCCTCAGGGCTGGCTGGGCCTGCTGGGGTAGAGGCCCCACGGATATCTGGGCTGACGAGGGGCTGCTAGAGGTGGAAGCTGGGGGTGCAGAGAGCCCACTAGGGCAGAGGACTTGGGGGTAAGGAAGTGTTGCACAGGAGCAGTGTCCCAGCCTGCTTTCCTGGGGGTCCTAGACACAGAGGGAGACAAACAGAAAGACATGCGGAGAGAAAGGAAGTCAGGGAGAGCTCCAGAGGGGAAAGAGAAAATAGAGATTGGGGGACAGAGACACACGGAAAAAGAATCAGAAGGAAGCACAGACAGAAATAGAAAATGAGATAATTTGAGATCGACAGAGAGATTGGGGGAGGCAGAATGAATTTAGGATACTGTGAGAGAAAAGCCCCTTCACATCTTACCCCAGACCCAGCAGGTACTGGGGGCTCCCCTGCCCTCCCCAGTTGGCAGTCCCTCCTGCTGTCTCACCACCGTCTGTCCTGCTGCTGTACCACCAGGTGGAGGTGAGGAAGAGCCATGTTCCTGAGCCCTGGTGAGGGGCCTGTGGCTGAGGGGGGAGGGGCGGCACCCTGCGAGGAGGCCCCCAAGAAGAAGCACCGGAGGAACCGCACCACTTTCACCACGTACCAGCTGCACCAGCTGGAGCGGGCGTTCGAGGCCTCCCACTACCCGGACATTTACAGCCGCGAGGAGCTGGCAGCCAAAGTGCACCTACCGGAGGTGCGGGTGCAGGTGAGGGTACCCTCAGTGACCCAGGGAGGGAGCCTATGCCAGATAGGGACCCTCCCAGTGCATGGGCAGAAAAGAAACTGGGAACGCAGCCTGGAGGAAGGGATTTGGGACTGGGGCTGTGACATCTGAGTAGGAGTTTGCCAGCTAGAAAGGAGAAAGGGTGTTTCTCTAGTCATCCAAACAGCATGCGCAAGGATGTGCAGGGGTTAAGTCAGAGGTGTTTCCATTGAGCTGGGTAAGAGAGAGGTGGAAGAAGAGGCAGAAAACGAAGCAGAGGAAGAGCTTGTGGAAAGCCTCAAAAGCCAAGCTGAGCAGCTTGCACTTCATGATAGAAGGCAAGGAAAGACCAGGGAGGAGGCCTAGGATCCTGAGGGGCCTGGTCAAAGAGAATGGTGAAGAGGAATTAGATTCAGAAAAGACTTAAGAGGTGATGTGATGGGGGCCATGAGGCAGGGCTTCTTCTCTCAAGACAGCCTTGAAGCAGAGTAACAAAACGTGTTGGTACCACAGTAGGTGGGGAGTCAGGTTAGACAGCAGGCAGAGCCCTGCAAGGCTGGGAGGCCCAGGGAGAGATGCCCTGAGGTGGGGAAGAGCCGGCTGGCCCCTCCCCACTGGCCCTGGGCTGGAAGCACCCTCTTACTGCTTCCAGGTGTGGTTCCAGAACCGTCGGGCCAAGTGGCGGCGCCAGGAGCGTCTGGAGTCCAGCTCTGGAGCTGTGGCAGCCTCGAGGCTCCCTGAGGCCCCAGCACTACCATTTGCCCACCCTCCAACCATTCCACTGCCCCTGGAGCCCTGGCTGGGCCCCGGGCCACAGGCCAGGCCAGGCCTCACTCACCTCCTGGGCCCGGCCCCGGGGCTGCAGGCATCCTTTGGGCCTCATGCCTTTGGTTCAGCCTTCATGGAAGGCTTCACCCTGGAGGAGGCATCTATTCGGCTTCTGGCCAAGGAGCATGCACAGGCTATGGACAAGGCCTGGCCACCAGCTTGAGCCTGGTGTCCACCCAGTCCTCCCTCTTCAGCCTGTCCCTGCCATACCCCCCTGGGGGTGACAGATCTAGGCCAAGGTAACGGAGCAGTCCAACCAGCAGGCCAGGCTATCAATGAGGAAAGAGACTGCCCCACCCCACCCCACCCCTGCCTATGGCCACCCATGCCAGGTGGCCCCACCTCACCCAGTCTCGGGAAGGAGGTGGCCATAGGACTCCCAGGCTAGGGGGGCAGGGTCCTGGGTGGTCTCGAAAGTCTCTGCTCTTCCTGGGGCCTTACTGCCCCCATCTATCAAACGGATTCAGAGGCTCTGGGACTGTAAGGCTATCATCGGGATCCACCAGGACCTTAATTCTTAGAGTCAATGAGTAAATCCCTGCTAATCTTTCACCAGCAGAGCCACCCAGCTCTTGGGCCTCTTTCTCCAAGAAATAACAGAGCAGCTCATGTCCAGCTGCTTCCTTTCATGGTGTGCTCCTGGCCAGAGCCCATCACATGAGGATCAGCCCCATTTTACAGGGAGGTAACTGAGGCTCAGAGATGGGAAGCCAGTTTCCTGAGGCCATAAAGCCAGTAGGGATGGGGCTGTTTTTTACACTCATTGCCTAACTCTGTTGCCCCAGGCACCACTGGGTCCCTGCTGGCTTTGGAAGCAGTTGGACCCAGGCCTGGGCTAATGGGAGACTAGGCTGACGATAGGTGAATATTACCTGTCCTTGCTCCATGTTTCAAAGTGTGGCTCATGTCCCCACTGACCAGAGACCCTGTCACATCTCCCAGCCCAGCAAGGGTGGGACGGGGCACTGGTGGCAAGGCCAGCATTTGTTCTGTCCAAACCAATTCATCCATCCATCCATCCATCCATCCATCCATCCATCCAGTAAAACCAATAGGGACACAACATTGAACAAAAAAGATAAAAATCCCTGCCCTAATGGAGCTGTTACTCCAGTTGGAGAGAGAAGATGCAGAATTAAAAAATAAACAAAACATAAAACACCAGCTGGTGGTAAATGCTAGGGAGAATAACACTGGGAAGGGCAATCAGGAGTGAGTGGCAAGTGTTGCAGTTTAATATGGTGCTGAGGAAGGCCTCGTAGAGGCGACCTCAGAGCACAGTCCTGGAGGAGGCGAAGGAGGGAGCCAAGGGGACACCTGGGGGAGAGCGACTCAGGCAATAGGCATAGCAGGTACAAAGGCACTGGGGCAGGACCCAGCCAGGGGTGTTGGAAGAGCAGCAAGGAGCCCTTGTGCCACATGGAGCAGTAAGTGTGTGTGTGGGGGGGAGGTGAGGGCAGGGAGGCAATGGAGGCAGGTCAGGCAGGGACTGTGGTAGTTACAACTTTGGTTTTTACCCTGAGAGAGTAAGTCATGGGAGGGTTGGGATGGGCCACCTGGGGGGTCAGGTTTTCAATAATCCCCTCAGCAGTCTTCCTAAGCTGATAAAGGCTCTCATTTTCCTGGGACCAGGCAGAGTTAGCTGTGGGGACCCCACCCTGCCCAGCCAGCTTGTGGACCCAGGGACCTGAAGGGTGGTGCCAACCTCCCACCCCCACCCTTGAAGGATGCCAACTGGAAAGGCTGAGGCCATAGCAGGGAAGGTGGGACCTTACAGGACTGCTTAATGAGTTCTGGTCCCCAGCCTCCTCCAATCTGGTGGACACTGGTCTCGTCCCTGGTACCCTATCTTTGAGACCCCTCCTTCACAGCCAGGCAGAGCAGGAGTTAGGACCAAGAGCTGAGGTTCTCACTGGGGCTGTGGATCATGTTCATGGTACCCCACGTACACTCCAGGGTGCATTTTCTGGTGAGAGCTGGGCACTAGTGGGGGTGGACAGGATGGTTGGTAGGGCTATGTCCCTGGGTTCAAATGAGTGGTCGATGTAACCTTGGCAGGAAGAAAAGGGAAGCTCCTTCCATCCAGCTTGGCTTGATGAACTGGGTAGGAGGGTGTTAGCCAGGAGCCCTGGAGCCACCTTGGAGAACTACTACTGGGGGTCAAATGGACCCAGAGACGGAGGGAGCCACATAGCTGAATACTGAGGCATCTGGATCCAGCCTTGCCTGGACATTTCAGTTCCTAAAGCTCTCAAGTTCTGTTCTGCTTCTCAAGGCTTGAGTCAGGTTTGAATCCCTTGGGACCAAGAGATGTTTTGCTAGAAAAACCTCCCACTTGAGGGGTTGAGGCCTCTTGAGAAGTGCTAGGAATTCCAGGAATCAGGGCAAGCAGCCCAGTGAGGCCGGGAGGTGAAGATGGACCTACAGAAACCCAGCCAATAGCCAGGAACCACTGCATCTGAGGAGGTACTAACCTCCCTGCCACCTGCCCCACTTCCCAATGGCCCGACATCAGACAACACCCAGTAGCATCTAGGACCTGCAAATGACAACCCCAAAAGGTCTTTATTGGTCCCCAGGACCCTGATCCAGGTTCACTGTGGAGGCCACACAGAACGCAGGTAAGAAAAAGTCTGTTTTCTCCAGGAAAATAAAGTTTTTCATGGGGCAGAATGGGGGAGGTGTTGTTGTTCCCCTCTGGAGTCCTTGCAAGGTCCTTGGGTCAGGGTGCTCCTGTCCCCTCCCCCACTAAAACTTTTGGTTCTTGCTCAGCCGGTTGTGTCGCCAGATGTTGTGTTTCCGCAGCAGCCGCCAGTACTCCCGGGTCTCAGGGTCGAGCTCCTCCAGCTTCTTGGGGGGCCCCACATTCATCTGGAACAGCCTGACGAGGTGTGAGCAGGAATCAGGGCTGCCCAGCAGCCCTCCACAATTCCCAGGCACCTTGGGCAGAGGCAACACAGAGGCACTGGCAGGACTGGGTCTGGGGGGCTGTGTGATCTCAGGGTGGTCCCTCACTTTCCCTGAGCCAGGTTTCTGGCTGTGGAACAGGGGGCACCTCCATTCCAATAGTGCTGATGTCTGAGGTGGGCACACACCAAGCCTTCTCCTGCCTCCTACCACTGTCCATGCTGTGTGCCTGTAATGCCTCCTCTCCCACTCAACCTTTCTGCACCTTCTCCAGCTTTAAGGATCAGCAAATGTCAATGGCTTCCATGTCCTGCTAATGCTCTCAGGGCAAAGAGCAAAAATCCAAATCCCTGCAGCGCCCAGGACCTGCCAGGACTGGGCTCCATGACCTCCCTGCCCTATCTACCCCTACTCTCCACCTCCTTCCATAAAAACCAGGTATAGTCCTGCTCCAGGGACTTTGTACACTGGCTGTTCCCTCTGCAGTTGACCCTCCTTCCACCCACTCAGGTCTTCACTCATGCATTGCCTCCCCAGGAAGTCCTCCCAGAAACCTGTATTTGATCAGCCAGGCACCTCCTCACCTGGTCACTGGTTTTCCCTACTCTCCAGCCTGGCCCACTCACCACTCGGGGTACTCGGCATCCGGCTTCAGGAGCACATCCTGTCCCTCTTTGTAGATGTTAACACCCATGGCATGCGTGGTGAGCCGGACAGGGTCTGTGCACACCTCTGGGTCCTTCAGGGCATCACTGACCACACCGCTTTTGCCGCCTTTGCTCCCCTTAATGACTGGGGGTGGGTAGGGACGAGTTGGTTCAGCCTGGTTCAGCCCAGTTCAGCCCAGCCCCACCCTCCAGAGGCCAGCATTCCTTTCCTGCCCGGTCTCTCAAAGTGGCCCCAGGCCAGAGTGGCCCCAGGCCCTGGCTGGCCCCGTCTACTGCACTCAAATGGTATTTTAAGTTGGCCGTGGATGCTGCAGTAAATAACAATGATGCTCAGAATGACCAAGTCACTCCCTTTCTACTTTGGTTCTTTCTGTTTATCTCATGGAGAAAGTGCTGCTATGTCTCTTTAAGACCTAACATGTATTTGCCAATTCTTTCAACAAAAAAGATCAGGCAAGGCCGTATCCAGCTAAAATTCAAATAACCTTATTTTGGTTTTGCTAAAGTGGCTAATACTTGAGCCCCACTGCATCCTCGAATTTCTGGTGCTGACATGACCAAGGTCACACAGTGATGTAGGGGGGAAAATGGATTGCTACGCAGGTTCCGGACCTCCTCCCACCCACCCCCAACCAAAGAAAACATCTCCACGCCTGCGCAGTGAAACGGTTTTGCTCCACCAAACCCACACCCTAGTTACTGGCAGCTCAGCATCTGGCTGGCGCCTGCGCACTGAGTCCAATTGCGCCCTACGGTCCTCAAACTGCGCCTGCGCGTAAAGCCTAGCGGTGTGCCTCTTCACGCTTCTGCCTTAATTCTAAGAACTACCTTCCCAACCAGCGCCTGCGCACTACAAGCTACCCAATGTCCTCACTGTTCCCATTTTGGTCCTTCTTAACCCCGCTCACCCGGTTTCTTGGCATAATTCCGTACAAGGAGTCTTCCAGGAGCGGAGAGGTCCACGAGATCCCGAGCACGCCGGCCGACCCAGGTTCGGGTAGCCCCGAATAAACGTCTGGCCGCCATGACGTACGCCGGCTGCCTCCACGTACACGTTTTCGGAGACGTCAGAGGCCAAAGGGTTCCTGAGAGAGAGGCTCCTAGAGACTTCTGGGAAATGTAGTTTTTCAGCCTTAGGCATACATTCATGTGACAAACTTTACAGATGTATCAGTTACTGTATGAGGCGACTTCAAAAGGATGTTGCATTGACTTTTTGCCCTTCTTCAGTTGCTTATTTACGTTAAAGATCACACCTTATACATTCCTGATTCTATTCAATGTGCAAATACTCAAAGCCTAAAAGTCATTAGAAACTGACACTTGGACTCATATTCCTGTCCTATTGTTAAAGCCTTAAACCGGCTTGATTTTGTTTAATCCTCATAATTACGAGATATTATCCCTCCTATTATTATTATTATTATTATTACCAATTTATAACCGAGGAAACCGAAAAAAAGGAAAGAGAGAGAGGGAGGGAGGAGAGGAAGGAAGGGA